TAGGAGGCAAATTTAGTTGGTACAACTGCAGAACAAAGGTCTGCTTTCCTGATGTCCATCTAACACTACCAAATTTACAGAGCTGTTTGAATTGGCAACACACCAAGTGACAGTCAAGTAACATTGCTAGTAATTAGGTTACCTAAATGAACTAATAAAACTTTGTAAAGTCTAGCATAATGCTGTCAGTTTTCATCTCTCTTTCTTAAGTTTTCCCATTAATTTGAAGCACATCATGCTTCCTCACAGAATTCCTAGCAGAACACGAGCCAACGTACTACAGCACTCAAGCAAAATCAAATTGGGCTGACCTAATTTCCTCAGCCCAAAACCAAAATTATGTATGATAACAAAAATAATTTTGCTTATAATTTTATATTGAACTTTTGGGATATACAGAAAAAATATGCATTAAAATTGCTCACTCAGAAAACAACATAATAATTTTCCCAGGATGTGCATATGTTCACTATGGTTGGCAGCATGTGTCCTCTCTAATTTTTCAAAGAGAAGTCAAAAAGGTCCCTGAAGAACAGCTAAAGACCCAGGAACTCATTGTTAAAACAGGCATAAGTGAATGGCCTATAATCCTTATCTATAACTTCCAAGTTCTTTCACTAGCATATGAAAGACAGAGCAGGTGCCTTCCTGAAAAATATACCAGTAAGATTTTCATCCTAAGACCACTTAATTTTAAAACATTTGCTGAGAACCACATAGATAAGTAGAAAGCACTTATTATTTTATTTTGTGTTACATTCCTTAATTGCTCATCATGAGCTAAGAACATTGGCAACTAAAAACAGTGTGACATTACCTTGACAAAACAATATCCCTGATGACAAATCAGTTCTAGGAAAATGACAGCACAACAAGGCCTGGGAACACATTTTTAATTAAACAAAAAGGATTTAATTTTAATAAAAAGGATTTTGTGTGACTACTAATATTCTAAAGAGGAAAATATGAGTATACTGTTTCAACTAACCTTACTTTTTTTGACAAATTTTAATAAGCCACTTCAGTTTTATCTCTTATACTGATTATGAATTATGAAAGGATTTGGTTGAACTGCATACCTTATTTACTAAAGCTGATAATCTTGACAGTGTCTCTTATTCATAGTGATATCTTTCTATTATTTCTTGTCCAATTGTTAACTGATAGTTTTTTATCAAAGTTTATCTAGGAGAAATAAGTTATTGTAGTCACTTAACCCAGAAAAGAGAAAATAATTTGTGACATGAAAATGCTACCAACTCATATAAATACTACTCCCTTTCCCATGTTGACATGGAATTAACAAATGAAAATGAATAAAATTAGTGAGAAGTAATCAGCAGCATAAACCTTTCTCAATTATAACTTACATATAAGCACTGGAGTAGATTATCTGGGGAGATGGTGAATCTTAGATTTTTAAAACAGAAAATACCTTTCAGCCTGGCTTATATGGACCACTTACAGTCCTTTCATTTACATGACTCAATAGGATGACTATATATGAGATGTTTTTTAAATTTCCTCCTTCTGTAGGAGAGGGCCTACAAACCATTGAACACTTAGATAAGTGTCTGTTTGAATGAATTTATCTATAGCTACTCTTACCTTGCCTCAAAAGAAAGAGTGAATTCCTGAGATTCCTTGCTCTATTCATTTGCAGCTGCCATCTCTTAAAATTACCCAACAGTGCTTTTCACATTTGCTATCCACTTTACTCAATTTTCAACAGCCCACCATCATCAAGCATTTCCAGCTCCAACTACTCTGCCATCTCAGTGCCTTTTATTATTCTCTTATGTTGATACTGTCATCCAATTTTCAAAATTCTCCCTCATCACAATTATTTGAAAAAATATATACCATGAACAAAAATTAGAATGTTCTCCATCTGTTCTCTTTGATTAGAAATTAATATTTTTCTTTTCTATATCAAAGAACTGAGCTCTAATTTTCTGTTTGATATGCATAACTGATTCCTACAGATAATTTTGAATGTACTTTCCATACATTTGTTGCTAGCTTAAATACTTTAACTTTAAATAAAAAAAATGTTATCCTATGGAGTTTAGTCTAATTTCAACCATTTTAACTGAAATGGACAAGAGTACCAGATAAACTGGAGTGTAAAAATACTTACAGTTCATTCATCTGTCCCTCTTTTCTAGAATTCCCTCCTCTGATACTGTGACCAAAAATACCTGGCTACTCTCTAGTTTTACTGAGTAGAGAGAAACTTCAGCCTAAGGTATATTATTTGACTTTAACACCAGTGAATAATATAAATGAGCAATGGAAGTCAGAAGTATTGCAAAGTGGTAGAAAATTGACATTACACTACTGGATCAGCTTCTTTGGTCAGGCTATCTAACAACATGATCCAAATCTATTAGTAACCCTAAAAAATCTAGTCACATTGTGTTAACAGTAATTCTAAAGCAGTCCTAATATGCAGTTTTACCAGGCAGGATATATCTTTTCCTATTTCAAATGAAGGCATAACATGAACCATGTAAATTCCTTCCAAGAATCTACACAAAAATAGACCCAAACAAATTTTCATCATTTCAAATTCTCCCTCTCATGAGAACCTCTTAGCCTTACCTACCCCATCAGTATAAAGATTATTTAAAGCACCTTGTTCATTTAATATCTAAGGTACATTTAGGGTACTGCAGGCCATGCAACTCAGCTGCTCCCCTTCCAAACTGTGAGATGTGTAGTATATCCTTGTAACCTGGCACAAGGAAGCCTGCACTTGAACACTTGTCACACTTTACTAGCAGTACTGAATAGGTAACTTGAAGTAAAATACCTTTCAACTACCAAGAGTAACCACTTAAGATCTTTGATTATACCCTGAGCATCACAGTATAGCTGTTTAAACTCCTCTGCCTTGAACCAGCTCTGGACATAATCAAGGCCACATTTACTCCTAGCATACATTAACAGTTATGACAATCCCATCTACCAGTTCCCCCTTTTTTTAACCTAGACCCCTGAAGAGTCTTTGTTTCAAGTGAAAGTTTCCTTCTTAGAAAACCTTGTGTCACAACTCTTGCACCTGTGGGACCCAATTATTTACCACCACTGTGTTAAGGGCAATTACCATATTCTTAAGGCAAAATGCTGACTCTATGAAAGACTCACTGAATAGCCACATTTACTTTGCAAAAGAATAGGAAAAGTTTAAACAAAGAAATTAAGAAAATACTTAAACTTTCCAGAAAAAATTAGCCTGAAGCCTGAGTGACAGTCTTGCCAAGTGGTTTTTCTAAATAGGAAAGGCCCTTTTTATGCAGATTAATGGCACTATGCCTTTCTTTTTCAGCAGTAACTTTATCTCCATTAACAAATGGAATAAGAAAATGCCTACATCTGTAGCAGTTGCCCAAATCAATTATCAGAAGCCTGATAAAAAGTACTTTACATCAATATAAGAAGAGGATTATAGTAGTGTTAAAAATTAATATATAGTGGCCTTTTTCTCCTAACACCTCTCAAAATGGTTTGCACTGTAACATCCACCACCTTTTTCTTCTGGCTGCTGTGCACGGGAGAACAGGAGTATAGCTAAGCTTGCACACTGAGCTACTGGAAAGTCAAAAGAACTGGTTTATTAACCCCATTTGTACTGAGAGCAGGAGGAACTTCATGTTACTTTATAGATATGTCTGACCTGATTTAGAGTACTAAAAGAATTTTCCCTCATTGTAAAGGGGAAGAAAAAATTAACTGCCATTATGTGGACTCTAATACTATAAAAAATTAAAATCCGAAGTAATCCTAAATAGCACACATTCTTAAGGAAGCACAGTATCAGCATTTGGGTGGCATGACAAAAGTTGTAGACATTACTTCCCTTTTGTACTACTTTGAATATATATTGCATGTTTTCATTAAGTTACCTGCTTAAAAGTACACACTAAGAGCATATTTTCACTTTATATATACCTGTTTTCTATGACAATTTTTCAAATATCACAACATTCTGTATTACAGGCCCTCCAATTTAAATTTATACAATCAACAGTATCTATTCATCAAGATGAATATTAATTTGAAATCTGTGCATTAATTCTGACACCTAAGAGTGCACAAAGTGTAACTTCTGAGCGTACACTAAATAAATGTTTGCACTGATCAACAGCACTAGAAAATTGAGTTCAGACACTATGTTTCAAGTCACTTCCCAGACTGCTGTTTCATCATTTTATCAGGAAAAAATAGGATTAGAATTCAATCACATCTTATACTGTGCTGATGAAAGGTTCACTTGAATACATTTAAGAACATATGAATGACAGGTTTCCTAGAATGGTCACAATGTCATTTGTAAAGGAAATTTCAAGCAGGGTTATAATTCTTCATATGGAATGTCATCATGTGTTTTGTAAATCAATACATTTCAAACTGTTTTACCGGTTATTTATCATTAAAAAACCCAAAAACCTGTTGCAGTTAAAATGCTTCCCGAATTCTGAATTTCAATAAACGAGTATTTACAATCTTACCTCTTTTCACTGTCACCTCCTGCTGAAGTTGACAGCAGGGAAAGGTTTATCTTTCTGATACTACTGGCACCACTCAGTCCTTGTCACAGCAGGGTAGTAAGTACATCCTTTCCTCCTCTCATCTTGACCACACCAAAACTGTGCATCTAGTCAATAAACTACTGCAATATGCTGGAAATTTTAAATACATAGACCTAACACATATGATGCCCTATTCATTCTATAATAGCTAAACTAGTGATAAGCATAATTTACATTTGCTCAAACTTTCTAATGTTATGGTTTTGTCTTTGTTTTTAATTCCATTTCATGCACTTAATGCTCTAAACTGCATTCAGTGTATACATCATTATGGTAAGCACATTGGCATGCACAGGCAATACAAGAATAGATTATAATTAATCTCATAGACAACCAAAAAAAGGTGAAGTTGCATCATGCAATGAAACCAGCTTGGCCTGGGCTGCCATGCAGAAAAAAACCTACATCAATGAGTCTGCTGTACGGCTCCTAGGTAAGAGTTGATATGAAAGAGGTGAGTTATTTCAGCAATGAAGTCACAGGCTGAGAATGTTTATACTACTGTAAACAAAATACTGTACATAGCACCAGTATTACTCAGGAATGGGGAAGAAAATGCTTGGAAAGGAGGACAAAAAGGATGAGAAAGAAGAGGGAGGAGGAATTATAAATTACAGTAACCAGTCTGAAATCCAATCGGTTCTTTTAAATAAGCATTTTGTTATTTCATTCAAAATAATTTCATTTGAGATTTCAAAGCAAACCTGAATTTTCAGTGTATTTTGAAGAAAAAAAGATGAAACAATGAAATACAGAGCAATTTCAAAATGTCTGTGTTCAATAACTGATGAACAACTGAAGATCACAAACACACAGTAATGAAAAGGTGAATTTTTCAATGCAGTGCACAGGATCCAAAAAACACAAGTTTCACTGACTTGAATGCATAATCAACCAAACTAAATGAATATGGACAGTATAAGGGATGCATTGATATGAGTGATTTATTTGGTCACCTTTTGCTGCTTTTCTAGTAACAGACATCTCTGCTGAATAAAGCAGGGTTTTTTCAGAGCTTGTGTTGAATTGCTTTTACCTTACTCACCTTCACAGTTGCACTGAACATAATGTGACTGGAATTACAGAGTGACCACCTAGTCTGTTCTAAACCATGTACATTAGGCACAGTACTGCACAGCCTGATTCCAGAGAGTTCAGAAAGATGTAATTGAGCAGGTAATTTATTGTACCACACCATTCACTTGAGGTGCTACCCTGTGATGATACAATTATGATTTTGTAACATTGCAACATATTATATTATCTGTGTTCCATTACAAAAGGATTTGTTCCATGTTTATCCATAGGTATACTGTTTTCAAGCAATTTTTCTTAATTACTCTTAAATGTATATTACCACACTATTTTTAGCACCATTCCCAAATACATAGACTACTTATGCAGGGTAGCAATTCACACAATACCTTCAACACATCACTTGTTAAAACACCTTTAACAAGAAAACTAAATTTCACTTACTGTATAAGGTTTTTAATATGATCTGTTGTTCCATTTGCAGCACAATTATTTTTGGTATCTTTGGTTTTATGCACTAGTACCTTTGTGAAATATTAATCTTTTTTGTTAGTAAATTGTCACAGACATTTAGATCAAAATAAAATCAAATAATGGAGAGTAGAAGTAACTTTCTGTCCTCTTGAAATGTCTTAGAATATTTGCAGAGAAACAGGTCAACCTCTTTTGAAATTGACAGGCAAAAAACAATTTCAAAATTGTTCATGCCAGATATAAAACCTCCAGTTGTACTACTCTTACATAGTGAAATTCACATTCTTTCTCCAGACAAACACTTCTAACCTTTTCACAGGGACAGAACTTGCAGCCAAGACTCATACCACTTTTAGCCACTGTGTGCTACTTAACAAGGCTAGTAGAATTTTTCATTAATTGCATATTAAACGTGAATAATTTCTTGGGTGTACAGGTATGCACTTACAAACTGCTGCACAGTGCATGCAAATGTTATCACCTGAGAAGGTTACTGAGTCAAGAGCAATTAAAGCACTGCTGACAAAGCCAGAAACCTAGTAAATTCTTTAAGGCAAGCAGATGAGGAGCCCAGCAATTTAGGAACTCACAGACTTCCACAGTGTCCCATTCAAATACCTACTGTACAGTCAGTAATGGGAATTCTGGCATACACAGTGTGTATTTTAGCACATATGTATGTATCACAGCACAAATGATACATATTATATGTGTATACTTTCCCATTGTTGTGGAAATAGAAGAATCTTACTTATCTTACTTGACAAGCATTGGCTCAGCAAAAGAAGAAACATAGTCCTTACATTTGTTCTTAATAAAATCAATATACCAGCAATCTTTCGTTTAGTTATGACAGAGAAGTCCTCAAGATTCACATGGAACACAAAGCTGGTCTGAGTTCTACAATCTCATCACTCTGAATATGACCATAACAATGTAAACACAAAAGGAGAAGAATCATTTCCTTGATACCAGCTCCTAATGCAGCAGAGCATGGCAGAAGCTACAAATGTAAGGGACACCAATAATCAGCTTACATTACAGTTGACCATACCTTTACTCAACAGTTTATTGTCCTGCAGTGATTTTCTGCTATAAAACCAGCTAGTCTCTGGAGATTCAACTATTAGGTTTAAGAAGAGATTCAGTCATCTGTTTTCAGATTGTTGCTAGGAACCAACCTCATATTAGAAAAGTCTCCCTGCTTCAGCTGGAGAGAAACTATCAAACCCATTTATATCCTAACAATCTAAAATAGCAGGAGTTTCTCTCTGTTGATGTAGCCAAAAGCTGTAACAAACTTTACATAGTTCATACAGGTCTGTTGCAAATTCTAAAACATAATCATTATGAAGGATACTGAACTATTTAAAATAAATGACCAGAACTATCAAATGTAACTAAATTTCTGGGACATTTAGCCCTGGAGTCAATTCCTTCCAACCCCTGAACATGAAACTCCTTTTAATAAACCAGCTACTGGAAAGTTTAGTTTGACAAAACAGGGAATCCAATTCCTAGTTCTAGTTGTCTGCTTTGGGGACTTGGTTTCACTTAACCAGGTAAATGAGTTAGTAAGTTTAAGACTTATGAACTATTTGACTGAAGATGGCCATAAGAAAGTTCCTGGAACAACAGGGTGACTGGATTCATATCCATTAACCTGTGGTGATTTGAACAATTATTTTACCACTGCATGTTAGCTACAAAACCAAATGCGCTCAAGTTTCAAATTTTCCCTGGGCAGCAAAGGTTATTCAACTCACATCAGACATTCATGTTTATGACAGAGAGCTGGTTTAGAGAAAAAGCCTTCTTTCCCATGAACAAAGGGTGCCTTGAGACAAGCCTTGAGATATCATGCTAAAAGAGTCCACAGTGCATGTACTTAGTCATCCTTTCACATTCAGGGTAGAATAACACCATCCTGTCCAGATTGCTGTAGCTGTTGATTTCACTTCTGCCCCCACCCCAAACAAGCCCATTACTTTTCCAGAATTCATTCATTTCCCAGCCAGTTTCTCTCACATAAAGAAAAAAAAACAAAACCAAAATCAAACCCCATTATCTCCCTAATGCTCTAATTCTTCCTATAAACACCATTTAAGGACCACACAACAGTTTGCCCCTGCCTGCCCAGGATTTTCTTTCTAATGTGATTCTTGCAGCAGTTCCATGTAAGTGAATTAGCACAAATATTACCAGCTGCTGTGTTAAAGCACAGGCATAAACCTCTGCCATTGCAGAATGTGTGTTTGGGGTAAGATGCACAACCACAGCACATGTGTTGACTTTATAATTTATGAAATACATTACAGAAAAAAAAAAAATAGAAGATGAAAAGTTTTCCCAAAGTAAACATTGCCAAAGGGAATTAAAAAAAAAATAAAAATGAAAGCATTTCACACCCTCTGGAAGAACTGTATCTATACAAACACTTGTCAAGGGTAGAGTGCAGATATAACCAGGGAGTTTTGAGATACTAAAGGGAAAAGAGGGATACAGCAAGTGATATCAGAATCCAGTGGCCTAACATCCAAACCTGGGTCTAGCCAAGGGCTTAATGAAGCTCAGAAAAAAAAGGTAAGAATTGTAAGCTATAACTTATTCATATTTAGCTTCTACTAGAACATGGTTCAGTAGGATCCTACGTTGCTCACTGAAAATACCATAAAGAGTATTACTAAATACTCAAAACTCCTCTAATCCCAAAGGGCTTGTCTATACAGAAACAAGAAAAAGAAACTATGCTAAATACATCAGAGAACGAGGAAGAATAGTGTCCCAGGACTTCTGGGAGAAGCAAGTGTGGATAATGCAGTAGGGACTGAAATGCAGACTTACTAATCTATCTCTGATGAGGACTGTAAAGAACCTGTTTCTATTCAATAACTGCTTATTACAGAAGCTCACTACAGTGATCATTAGCCAGTAAATGTACTGGCATGATGGAAGATGTGTCAGGATTGTGCTTTATGGAACAGTTGGATCCTCATGTATTCTTTCTAATGTTAGAGTAGATTACAGACTTCAAGTTACAAACCATGTATGACAGACTTATTCACAGTATTATTGATGAGCATGTCTGCACCCCTACCACCTTACCACTCTTGCAAAGCCCTAGACATACTGGTCTGCATGTAAAGCAAGCATCTTTGTGCAGGTAGATCTATCTTCTTTATGAGACTGCACAAAGATATTTTTTCACAAAACTGTCAAACTGACAGGCCAAACTTGGTTACCCACAGAACCATCAACCCACTGGTACTGCAAATCTTGATGCACACTGAACAAAAGTAACTAGACTGGCCTTAGGAACTCTTGGCAGGCTTCTCTCCATTATTGCTGCTTGTTCATATGAACACAGACCCTAGACTGAATATTCTGTAGTTCATCTAACCTCTTTTAGCAGCTTGCTAAGGCCTTAAGATGGGTTATATTCATTATAAACAATGGCAGTAAGTTACTAGAGGTTATACATTATTGTAACTACACTGACAGACACACTTTTATACAAAGTCTGATAGTGAATTATGGCCTTATGAAAAACGAGTTGAAAGTTGTCTTCTTGACTGAACACAACCCTACTTCAGTTCCATGCCAGCAAATATAAAAATATATGGAAAAATCTCTGTGCTTCCAGAAGTATCAAAGTTTGCAGTTTCATGCATTTTGAAAAACTATAAACAAGAGGGGGTTTTTTTATGCATATTTCTTCCCTTTCCCATAGGGCATTATTATTAATGTAGCTATGGACAAAAATAAACAACAACAACAAAAAAAAAAACCAAAACAAAAAACAAAAAACCCAAAAAACAAAACAAAACAAAGTATCTTAAACTCCCTCCTTTAACAAATTTTTGAGACAAATTTTCATGCCAGAATTAGCATTCTGTATATGCATCAAGGACTACTACCAT